CCTTCTTTTCTTTTAATAATTTCTTATTTAATTGTTACATTCTGATTCTCCGAAAGTGAGATCAACGTACTAAACTTTCGTACACTCTATGTATCTCAAATCTGAGATCAGTGTACATTCTAAAATGTCTCAATGTAGACGAATAAAAGTGTCTATATGAAACATGAGAAAATTTTTTCATCAACAACCAGCGATGGCTCTTTAAACTATTTAATATATTATATTAATTCAATTATCGTACGAATCTTTCCGTTATAATATTCCATATTTGATTTTGTACTGTATAAATTTAATTAATTATAATAATACATAATTCACGACTAATTTTATCATTAGTTACAACGATTTATTATAATTAACTAAAATAAATTTTGCAATTATATTTGGAGGATGTTTTTATATTGAAGTTTTAATTAAATTTTGATTAAATTGTTTACTTCAACCGGATCTAAAAAAGAGTACGAGGTCTCTTTGCTCATTAAATAGTATTAAGCGTTCTATCTAATCTATTCGACAAAAATGCAATGCTTGAACGGTGCTCTCACGATATAGTCCATCCGTTTATCAACTTCCTCAGTTTTACAGCGTTCACGACCGGATGCCGCCGAGCGATCGCGTAATAAGCATGAAGCGAGAATTTGCAGACAATTATCTAAGCCGGAGGAACTTGCCGGCTAATTCCGGCCTTAGAGTTCTCTCCAGTTCGGCTCCGCGTACGTGACGTTCGCTCACGTCGGAGGAGGGGAGTCCATCGAGATCGAGGTCGTTACGTGGCCTGGTATTCGTTCGATGTACGTTCTCGCACAGGTTGATCTCGCAGAGAGCCTCCCCCCGATCGATCCCCTTTTTCCGAGCGAGTCCACGCGGAATCCGCACAGCCTCTCTCACGTCGGCGTTAATCGAGTCGTCGAGCAGGTAGACGCTCGTCCGCCGTTGCTCTCGAAACGCTCGCGAATGCGTGGAGCGGATTTCGCGGGTTCCGTTACGAGGATCTGTTACGACACAGATCGCCGTTGCACGACAGACTCGATTAATTCCCGACTGCGCACAAAACGAAAAAATGACAAGAAGGGAGAGAGAGAAAAGAAAGCATGTCAATTACATTTGAAATAAAGCGAGAAATATGACGTTGCTCCTCTCCGTTACAGCGTTTCTCTTTATGGTCGTGAACTTCATACTGACCACCGCGTCTCTCGCAATGGTGCACGAGCGCGTCCCAGATAGGAGTACGTACGGACCGCTGCCCGACGTGGTGCTGGATAACGTTGGCGCGCAGGACTGGGCGCTCAACGTCTCGGAAGTGCTGATCATGATCATGTCCAATGCCGCAATGGTGTTTATCATTTTCCATAAGCATAGGTATGTAAAAAGAAAAATGTGTGTATAAAAATATTACAAAGCGAATGCCGAACGGATTCGAGAGGACGAAGACGAACGGTTAAATTGATTTTCCGTGTCCGTGCAGGTTTATTGTAGTTAGACGAATATTCCTTCTAATGGGGCTACTCTACATGATGAGAAGCGTCACGATGTACGTGACGGTCTTGCCGATCGCCAGCAAAACTTACTACTGCAGTCCGAAGGCGAACAACACTAGCCCGCTGCTTGTGACAAAGAGGGTCTTGCAGCTCATCTCCGGCTTCGGTTTGTCCATTAACGGCAAACACACTTACTGCGGGGACTATATTTACAGCGGGCACACCGTGGTGCTCGTACTCAGTTACCTGATCATTACGGAGTGTACGTGCCTTTATCGCTCACTCGAAAAAGTCAATACAGGGGCGTATTAATGTCGGCGCAATTTCATAACGATCCATTAATGTTTTAGATTCTCCGAAGTTTCAAGGGAGAAAGTTCCAACCGATACATTGGTTAGCGGGTCTGGCGGTGATTGTCGGGGTAATTATGGTCCTGGTAGCTCACGGACACTACACCGTGGATGTACTTATAGCGTATTATGTTACTACACGCCTGTGGTATATTTATCACACTCTAGCCAACAATCCGAATCTTAAGGTACGTTCCGCTTTCCGATTGTGTTCCACGAACATTCTCTATATTCTCTATGGATTTCTTTTATGAAATTTTGATAATATTATTTTTTTTTTGGTGATGTTCAGTAAACTTTAAATTAATGAACTTTAATATTAGAAACAATAATCGATATAAAAGTATTGCTATGTAAATAGCAGTCATGTGAAAACGATGAAATTTTTGTAGCAATACGGACCAAACAACTTTTTGGCCCGACTCTGGTGGTACCCCATTTTCAAGTATTTCGAAAAGAATGTGGGCGGCACGGTGCCACGACAATATGACTGGCCTCTACCCTGGCCTCGACGGTTTCTTGCCAAGCACCCCAACCGAGATAGTTAATATTTGTCTTGACTTCACTGATAGAGGCTGTTTAAAAAACAAAGGAGTTACTTTTGTTGTATATATTATATACATATATATATATACACACACACAAACAAACAAACACACACACACACACACACACGCACACACACACACACCTACCGTATGTATATATTTAGGCTTGTTAATATGAAGGTAAAGTCTTCGCTAGAGAGAGAGAGAGAGATATATGTGGGACGTACGACTGTTTTTGGTAGCAACACATTCATTATGGAAGCATGACGCTTTGTGTCGTTCACTCCTTTGTAATTTAATTGTGAACTCTTAGACACAATACTCGTGCTCTCTCACGTAAAGTCATCGTCCAATCGGCCCGAATTTACTTTTTGCTTGATTTTTATACGATTTATATATAATGTAAAGAGTAGATAGAACGACGGTTGGAATTTACGATAGTAGATATCGTAAAGGTTCGAATGGAGGAAGGCAGTCCGGAATCGATACGCAATTGGCGCGTTGTGTAAAATGATTCGCATAAACGCGTTCGTATTTTCAAATAAATAGCTGCGCAACAAACCGAAAGTAATACAGTAACTAAGTAAAATGTGTAGAACAGATGCGCGTTTTTAGAAACCCGATCGATCCTGTACGATAAAAAGAATTATCTTTATTAGCCCTCAGCGAAATATTTGTAAATAAACGCGAGAATGAAATCTACATCCTTCCTCCAGACGAATCTTTGAGTCACATTCTAACGTTTCGACTTCCAGTACCTAGATATCGTCGTCCCTGACTCTGCATTCGCGGCACGAATTATTCCGGTGAAAAACGATTTTGCAGACAAATTTGCCAAAAGTGCACCGTAGATCCGCGATGTGCATATTTTCGTCATAGTTCCACTCTGCCGATTATCCTCGAAATTGTTTTCCTCGTGCTTCGGAGAGAAATATCCAGTGTCCAGTCCCTTACTGGGAGACGATTGTGCAATTTCGTGGGACCAAAACAAGGAGCGCTCAATAGTAAATGTTAGTTTATATAGCACTGAATCTAAAAATACAAGCAAGCATACCGAGTCGCGAGGTAGCACACATGATCTCCATAATTTATAGTAATATCATCAAAGATCATTGATAAAAGACTATTAATAATAATATCACCGATTCCGTGTCGTGATTAGACTACGCGATATATCGCGAATGGAATTTGAAACCTACTACCTGCCATATATACAAATTATCGTCGATTCTCACTTCAAATAAATGTAGCCTGCCGCAGATTTGGATAAGTTCACCCGTGAGAATCCCATGACGTTTCATAGACTAAATTTTTAAAAGGTACACCTCAACTCTTTTAACTTTCACTAATCGATGTCGTACGAAAGTATCTAGAGGAATAAAAAAGAAGAAAGTACTGAAGCACTCGTGCCGCATTCGTGTTTTCACGGAATAAGATCGTTGTGCGCCTGTGCATACACCGGATGTTGTCACATATGTATATATGCAGAGACGATGTGTGCAAGCTTTGCAAGGATTGCCGGTTTGCGCGGAGGGGCCGATGTATACGAATAACGATCGATCTTTCGCACGATTCTTCCCTTGTTCTCTTCTCGCGTCTCATGATTCCTTGCGCTTCTTGCCCGCGCTCTCTTTCATCGTCAGGGAGAGAGAGAGAGAGAGAGAGAGGAGACGACACATTTTATTAATTTAATGATGTGATGAGAATGTCGCGATTCTTTGAATACTTGGAGAGACGCGTGAAGACATTGCGAATCTCAGTTAATGATGTGCAAGTGGGCGATAAACGAATCGCGTGACCATTCGTTCTCCTAGCGTCCAATGAAAGTCGTATGCGTGAGCGTGTGCGTGTGTTCGCATGTGATAAAAGTGCTAGGTTTAAATTATGTTAAGAATATCTTGTTATATCTTGTTCGCGAATGGTTCATTGTTGAATCTCTAACAAGTACGAAAGGCACTCGTAGCTTTCTCGTTGAATTTCCGTCATTTTGTATATAGTTTGAATAAAGAATAAAATTTCCAGCGACACTTCGCCGAAATAGAACAAATTTGTATAATTGTGAAATTCGTTCGATCAAATTCGAGATAAATACTACAAACTGTACACATTTTTTTCAAATCCCGACTGAGATTCTATTATTGTGCGGACTGCGACCGATAATTGTCGAAGACTCCGTGCGAAAGATTAGAAGGAAAATGATGGGAATTGTGAAGGGGGAAGATGCGGTAACGCGGTTAGTAACGTAATTAACTCTTTTCGTCTGTGATGAATAAATAAAAAAATAAAAAAAAAGAAAGAGGAAGAGTAAATCGCTGTCCCGCGGTCTTCAATAACGTAGCGGCCGCGGATCGATTCTGAGCGATGTGTCCCTTACGGCCACCTGATATTTCTTCTCGACACACACATTCAGATCATAGTTGCGTGTAACTGTTGAATATATATTTTAATAAGATCGATGTGGTTCGCGATAAAACTTAATCGGCAGCGCATTCGACGTGTAACGGACAACACTGTATCTAGGGGTATATTTTTGACATGTGTGCGTGTGTGCATAATGTGCACTCTCTCAACTGACTTGTGTAATAGAAAGATAGTCTGCAGCTGTCCGTTACACGCGAATGCAAGAATGGATTAAAACGGACATAGACACACATTCAGATATTATAGATATATATATTTCACGGAGGCGGATATGCGCTGCGCGCATTTGTCTCTGCGTGCAACGCATATTTATTATTGTTGCCCTTTGGGGCGGATACGCTTTTATGCGCGGCGAAAAGAACTTCGATGTGTAGAGCTTAGATTGGCCCGACGTTTACGGGGAAGAGCGATATTTTAGATCTGTCGGGTTATATTTCTGTGGATGCGAGCCAAAGGATATTTTCAAGTATGCGCGTGTGCAGGCAAACATTCGCGTATGGATATGTACTATAAAAAAAGAATGATATATTTACACGCACACACGATAGGAGAAAGCTTCTTCTGTTAGCGGAAGGGCCTCTCGTTGATGTTTATTATATCAGAAACAACAAAAATATATATATATATATAATAGAAAAAAGAGTTCATATTATATTATATTGCAGCCGTGGCACATATGAACGTACGCGCGCGCAAATAATATATATGCGTGTTTATATGTATATACATATACATACATATATCTATATTTTTACGTGTAGATATTTTTTGGTAACTTGTTATAGTAATCTGATTAGAGCAGTTAAGTATATATATACAAATTATATGCGTTGTACATAAATAAAAGTTGTAGAAAGAGCTTTTGTCACTGCGTGAAGCTAATCAAAATTTTGTTACCGGTAAACGACATATTGTAGCGTTTCTCCGACGTTTGTGGATTATAGTTCCAATTTTACATTTCTCGAGGACTGGTTAAAGCGCAAACTCTTGGTTTCCCTTACCTTGCATTGTACATATAAGTCTTTATGATTACAGGAAGGAAACATCGATATTATTACAATAAAGAGCAAGTTGTATTCGGCTTTACTTTATATATATTTCTGTATTTATAATATTTATTACGTTTTTCATATGTTGATGTAATAAAGTTTTAAGTATACTTTACGACGTGTTGTACTCTACACACCGATCTTATATATCCCTTCTGTATCTTCTCGAATATCTTATCAACTTTTTTCAAAAATCGCAGAAGTTATACCCGTATTTTTTAAAACACCCAATCGACATCTTTTGTTTCGACTGTCAAACTAATTTTTTTTTGACAGTCGTTCTTCCTTGCACAACTTATTTTTTGATCATCATCGCAAATTTACAAGTGAAACAATCCGAAAATAATATAATTTTCATAACAATAAAAAATATTGAATTTATCAAAAATTTGAAAAAAATATATCCAATTATATTTCAATTATTAGTGATTTTTATCATGGGTTAGGTAAGTGCATATTGCACTTTTAACAAACCAAATATAATAATTTGATAAGGCAGTCATTAAGATCACAGCTGATCAATATAATACGTTTTTATTCAATCTTTAATTCCAGATATTTTATGAAGAAGAAACACACACGAGTTCACGGATTATTTGAAATATCTTAATTGTACGAAAATGTCGAGTAATAAGTCTCCAACGAAGTTGAAAAACGCGGAGAACCCCGGCGGTGTCGGCGAGGGCGATGTAGGACAAGAAATTGAAGGGAAAAAGAAGTTTGCTCCTCGCTTCGATTTTGGAAAACGATGGCATCGCTTTCGGATTCTAACGCCACATTCGTTCATTCTTCGGGGTTCCCACGCGATGAACGATCTCCGATTCAAGTACAGAAGCCGAGGACGGCAAGCAGCACCGTGCTCGGTGGTGGCCATCGTTTACGGCCGCCTGTTCGAGCCGAAGAAGTGGACCACCGATTATGTTGATCAAGTGCTCGAGTACGGCGACAAGCTGTTCCGCGTGAGCGCGACACGAAACCGGCTGAAGGACGACGAATACATGAAGACCGGCCTCGTGCACAACGAGTTCTACGTCGGCTTCTACAAGATTCTAGTCGGCATCGAAGACAGCGGTATCCGCGGCAACCTCTTCAGCGAGTCGATCGGCTGCTCGGACTTCGCTGAGGGTCTGCGAAAATTCCTGCGGGACAATGATTCCGGAGTAATCACTGCTCAGGGTAATTCCGTCGCCGTGTGGCGTCAATCGCCCGACGTCTTCCTCTATTACGATCCGACTTCGTGCGACGAAAACGGACTGCGTCATCCCGGCGGTGCAGCCTGCCTGATGAGATTCAAGAACATCAACGATCTGCGCGAACACCTGTTGAAGAACCTGGATCGGCGCTACGACTCGCGATACTGCATCGACAAGATCAACATACTGCGCGTTACAGAGGTAATAAGAATAAGCAAAAGCAATAGTAGTTATTTATTTTAGAAATAATTCTGTAAGAATCAAAATATTGAACAAAAAGATTTTGATTTTATATTCCCGGATAGCCAAATGCTAGCAATTTGCTGTCAATATTTCTAACATTTCGCTTACTATGTTAAGATAAGCTTCCGAAACACGATAGTATAAAAAGAAAGAAATATATAAAAGGTCGGTCAAGGCTTCATCGATCGTCTGCCCGGTGTCATCGGTCCGCCGCAGGTTCAGAAGAGCGTTCTGCGCTCCATCAATCCGGACGTCGACGAGCACAAAGTAGATTGCACGAAGCCGGTGCCGAAGGACGACAAGCTCCGCGCCGCTCCTGCGAAGATACGCAAGGAGCCGCTGTCCATCACCATTTCGAATTACAGCATCGATCGTCGCTTCGCGACGGAGCCGCTGGTGAACCGAAATGACTTCGACACCGGATACACCTACGACGATATGCGCGTGAACGTGCCGTCCACGTTCGAGGAATTGCCTAACAAAATAGCGATCCTTCACGGTCTGACTCACGAGGGCAGCGAGGTGTACAAGGGCAAGGGCGGTCAGAATGTGGCGAACTGCGTGACGGCCATCGCCATGAATAAGATTCATCCGGTGAAGACCTGGTTGAAGCCGAGGCTGGACGAGATTCTGGCGCTGGGCGACGCGCTCTACGCTCAAGTCAAGTCCGAGAAACCGGCACTGAAGACGATGACGGCCGCCGATCTGGACGACACGAGGCTTCGAATAGAGGATCGCAAACTGGTGGTGGACGTCGACCTGATCACGGTGACCGGCACGATCAACTCGAAAGTGCCGTCGGTGTTGAACCTGAAGCAGGCGCTGGAGGAGTTCTTCTTGGTGAACAAGGAGGGCGTAATCGAGACGACATCCATGGCGGTGGCGGTTTGGAGCCAGAACGACTGTTACTATCTGTTCGATCCCCGAGCTTGCGACGCCACCGGCGTCCACGTGAAGGAAGAGAAGGCTGCCAGGCCGGCGGGGAGGGGGCGGGAGGAGGAAACTGCACAGAGGCGTAAAAAGGAACCAGGGCGTTGCTGCGTGATTCGATTTCCGAATCTCACCTCGCTGGCCGCGCTCTTCCCGAAGAACGTCGATCCGGCGAAGAAAAACGATCGCTTCACCATCCGACATATTGCGATCGTGGACGACGTGCCGGGCACTCGATCCTGGAACGAATTCCAGCCCGGTGTGGCGGGTGAAACGTGGGTGTTGCGCGGCAATATCTCGAACGTTGACGAGTTATTCGAGGAGGAGAATCAAGGGCTTCAGGGTCTGGCTATGCCAGTGGTGGCTCTGATCAGCGCGAGAGAAACGCCACCGGCGAAGTGGGACAGCGAGACCATCGACGAGGCGGTCAGAGAGGGCAATAATTACTATAACTGGACCAAGCCCGTCGAAGCGGAGGAAGAAACGCCGTTTCTCGTTCAGGACCTGAAGAAGAATTTATATTTCATGAATCGTAAGACGACCATCGACATCGAGGAGGCGGCGGTCGTCGGCGATCTTTCGGCGCCGAAAGATTCTGAACTGCCGAATTTGGAGAAGGGACTGCGTCAGTTCTTCGAGAACAAGCAGTACGGAATAGTCGAGGTGAAGCGGTTCGCGGTGGCAGTGTGGAAAGTCGAAGAAGAGGTCAAGGACAAAGGAAAGCAAACGTTCTACTATTACTTCGACCCGAATCCGCGGGATAAGCTCGGTCAATTGTCGGCGGAGAGAGACGAGGAGAATTTCGCCTGCGTGGTGCGCACTTCGAATCTCTCAGCGCTGGCGAATCTCATCAAGAAAAACGCGGGACAAGACGCTGAACGCGGGATTGATTTCACGATCCACGAGCTAAAGAACGTCTCCATCGGCGCGTCGATGACGGACGAGGAAATCGAGGCGGACAAAAGAGTGCCGATCACGCCGGATTTAAATAATTATTCCAATCTAGGCAGCAACGGTGCCCTGCTTCTGGGCACCGTCGATCAAAGAAACGAGGCAGCCTTCAAACGGCAGACGAGGGACAAGCAGCAGGCTGCCAACTCTCTGGCGGCTTTGGCCATGACGAAGCTCTACAATCCCCATCTGTGGTATCGCGAGATGGTGGATGACATTCTGAAAATCGGCGACAAGCTCACCGCTAAGAATTTAGTGAATCTGCCCGAGGAGGAAGAAGAATCGCCCAGGAACTATCTCTTGCCGTCGGAGATCGAGGCGGACTTCCTTATAGGCGTCAATCGAATGTCGATCGCTCTTGAAGAGGAAACCGTCACCGGCAGTGTGGCCGACGTGACGAGGCTGCTAGAGCAGTTCTTCGACGTCGACGCGATGGGCGTCTTTCGGCAAAACGACGTGATAATGCCGATCTGGCGAGAAGGGAATGTGTTCTTCACGATGGATCCTCGAGGCAGAAATGCCCAAGGTGAACCGAGAGACAAGGATGGAGCCGCAGCAGTGATGTGGTTCACTGATATACCCTCGTTAGCGAACGTTCTTCGGCAAGTCGCGCGGGGTGATAATTTCGTCATTGACGTTGTGGCGATCGAAAACGCGTACGAGACGCGGGTGGCCGAGGCTCAACGAGTGAAAAAGACCACTTCTGCGGACGATTTGTGGCATCATTTTCCGAAACTCGCTGATGGTGTGTGGAGCATCGACGGCAATGTCGCCATGACGGACGAGAGATTCGATGAGGCAAATCGCGGCAAGCAAAGTGCGGCCGTCACCGCAATAACTGTCGTCTTCTCGAAGGTCTCTTTTTAAATATTTTATGCCTTTCTCTTGTATGTATTTAAATATTTTATTTTTATTTTATTGCTTAAACTAAAGTCTTTATTATTCATTTTTCTTGTATTTTGCATTCTTTTTATTAATAATCTTGTATTTAATAATTAATCACTACGCGATTGTGTTATCTATTAAAATTCAACGTTAATCTGACTGGTATTTGAACCTTCAAGACAGTTTTATGTTGATAGTTCGCGAGTCACCAATCAAACATACATTCGCACTGATGTTAGTATTTTGCTCGATTTTTATCCGGATAGTTGTTTTCGAATCTAAGCAGCTGATTTACGAATTTGCTCGAGTTTATTCAGTTTGATTAGCTCGCAAAGACTAATGGTTAGACTTCTAGACTCCCTAATCGAATCTCAAAAGGTAAAGTGTTTCTTTATTTTAAGATGTGTTCGAAAGAATTTGTTATTTTAATTTTATTCTAAATACTGTTTTAGAATAACTCTACTCTCTGCTTTCTTTTTAATCACAAGTAGATTGCTAAATTTTCTGTAGCAAATCTCTTAACATTTACATATTATTTTATTTTATTTATATAATTATTCTTACATTTTTACATTGAAGTTTATTCTTAGTTTAATTTAAATTTTTTGCAGTTACTTTAAAAATTATTTTACCCATGTAAATATATAATTAATATGGAAAAATTTATTAATTAAGGTCTATCAACCAAAATACTGGACGCCGTCCATTCTTGATGAAGTCATCATCACCGGCGACAAACTACATTCAAAGTGCGTCGAGCGACTCGGCGTGGGTTCGGTGCCCTTAATAAACGAGATCATCAGTGAGTTCTTCCTGTCCAGTCGTCGCATTGCTTTGACAATCAAGGACTGCGTTCAAGCGGGCAGCCTTAACGAGAGGCCGTCCAAGGTTCAAGATCTGCAGAGCGGGATCGACAATTTCTTCGATAAATACGATGCCGGTGCGTTAACCGCGCAAGGAAATCGAAATCTGGCGATATGGAAAGCCAACAACGTGTATTACGCTCTGATACCCGATTGGTCCATCGCCAACGAAGAGACTCTGGTACCGCGAGTGTTCAGATTCAGAGACACGAATCTCCTCGTTGAATACCTTTTGCGTCATTTGGGAAGAGAAGGCGACTATCAGATCGCCGCGATTGACGTTTTGGATTCGAACAAGCTGCCACCGTGGAAATTCGATCCCAGCCCGGCGATCCGACCGGCGAATCTGCCTCCTTTGAATGCTTACAGGAGATTGCAGGGCGAGGCGCGAGCGATCCTGCGTGGCAGCTATCACCAGGGCGACGAAATCTTCCCTGAGACGCTGCGCAATCGACAAACTGCGGCAAATTGCATTGTTGCACTCGGCATGTCGGTCGTGAAATGTCCTGTCACCTGGACGAAGAAGACCATGGACGAGATCCTGGCGATCGGCAGTGGAGTTCATCGGGAAACAAGAAAGGCCAGACCCACCAAGTTGAGATTGAAACCAAAAGATATTATCAGAGTATTCTACGTGGGTATGTAACTCTTCTGTCTTCCTGATAGTTTAAAAAATTCTAAGCATTATTGATATAAATCAAAAGAAACTTTAATTGAAAACGATTAATAAAAGTTTTCCCTACATTTTTATCTGAAATAATACAAAAATAATTACAAACATTAATAAGAATCCAACGTTTTCCTATTTTTCTTATATTTAAAGGAACTGAAAAAATAAAAAATTATAATAATAAGAGTGAAGAAAATAATAATTGTGAAAATAACAAGGAAAAGTCACGATTTTTAATTTTACAAAAAAATACGTATTTAGTCAAGTAAATATATGGAATTTATTCAAATATTTAGATTTATTTTTTCAAAATTATATTATTTTAAATTAATTTAAAATTTTGATTATTATTTTTCACTTACATTGTTACTGCATCTAATATCATACAACACGAATCTTATTTATCTTACCTTTTTCCAGGTGTCAACGTTCTGACTGCTGACGTCGAGCCCAATACAGTGACTGGTCTGGTAGCAATTACGCCCCCCGACCTGCAAGAGAAAAAAAAGAAGGTACAAGAAGAGAAAAAACAGAAAGTAGAAAGAGACAGAACGAAAGTCCAAGAGATAAAACAAGACCAAGAGTCGCCTCTTCCTTCGATTTTACTCGAGGAAGGTCTGCGGAAATTTTTCCAGGATAACCGCGCGGGCATTCTCGTGACCGATCGCGGTATGATTGCTATCTGGAAAGATCTGGGCGTCTACTTTATGTACGATCCTAGAGCTAGAAGCGACCAGGGTTTGTCGAATCCCCACGGCACCTCGTGCGTGATGTGGTTCGCCTGCATGGAGCCTCTGCACGATGTTATATTCGCCAACATCGATCCGCAGGAAAAATACGGGCCTTTCGAGATCTGTCGGATAATCATAAAGACCGCAATAATAGAACCCTTGCCAAGCCCGGCTGGTTTCCGACCTTACTTCGACCGTGCTGCGACGCCCGGCTCGATCACCTCGAAGAAGATCACCACGCTGGACGTGGAGCCGCTGTGCGAGTACAACATCGTCGACGACGATCTCAGCGTGCTGCTCGGCAACCTGCACATGAATCATCGCACCTTCGGCCTGAAAAACAGAGGTCTGCAGAGCACGGCAATCGCGGCGGTGGCCATCGTTGTGGGATTGCTGCATGTGCCGTCCACTTGGACGCCCGAGCTGATCGACTCCGTGCTGAAATACGGAGACGCGTTGCACTCGGACAGCGTCCGAGCCGCTCGGCCAGGCGCCAGGAACCTCTCGCCCAGCGAGCTGCTCACCGTCTTCATCGTGGGCGACGTTCGGGCTACGGTACACATTCACAATCACACCACAGCGGGGATACTTCACGCCTTCGACCTGGCCGAGGCGCTCGCCGTGTTCTTCCGTGCGAACTGCGCCGGGATACTGCACACGACCAACCTGGCGGTGGCCGTGATGCAGCATTACGGTAAGTTCTACATGTTCGATCCGTGTCCGAGGAATGATCGGGGAAGACCGGCCTACGACGGCGCCGCCTGCGTGTTCCGATGCGACAGCATCGCGAAGATGGCAAAGATCTTCGTGGCTAACTGCAACCTCCGACGACCGAATGTGTACACGTTAAACGCAGTCAACGTGTTGAATCTACATTTCTTCTCAGACGCGAGGAACGTTTGTCCGTCCAAGTGAGAAGAGTGACGTTTTTCTTCGTCAATTCTGCATCCTTGTGCAACGGTGAATTGTAAAATAAATGCTTGTAAAAATGTTTTAGAGTACGAGAAGATACGCTTAAGCGAAAGCCTGAAATAAAATTTGTAAGATGAACGGGGAGAGGATAAGTAACTCGTGTACGCGGCCGACAACGTTCTCAAAGTGCTAATTTTATTTATAGGTTTTCTTTATGACACAAATCACTTTTAGCATCTACATGAGTAGGAGATACAGGCTATACGAGAATGAATTTAATACAGATCACTTATTAGTGTAAATACAATGTTCCTTTTCTTCTCGATTACACGCTATCAACCTAGATACTTAAAAAACACTGTACAACGCAGTTGAGAACTGTCGATTGATACTTTACAATATGGTACAACCACTCCTTTTGAAGCGAGACACGAGCTCCGAATCCGACTTGTCGGCTCGAGCGGAGCCTTGGCCATCCTTATCACCGGAAGAAGGGTGCAAGTTTGGTCGTACTTGCGAGCGATAAACCCTCTCCTCTCGAGCGGACTCTAGGCCGTATCGAGCGAGTTTGTCCGCCGCGAGGATCATACGTATTTTGCGTCCCGGAAAGAGGTACACGCATCTGTCTTTTCCCTAACGCGCATTCTCGGGACATCGAACACAGTGCCTCCGCGTCTCTAAGTCAGTCCGCCGTCGAATCCATCGCGACGTTGTCTCGTTTCTAGCAAAGTGAAAATCAAGGCGGCGAGACGCGAGCGGCCTCGAAAATACTTCCACGAGAGGGCTGGCACTCCGCCCTCCCCTCGCATATGATTGTCCATCGAGGAGACCATTTCCGCTCGCGTCACCCCCCCTCGTGTACAGTCATCGTAATTCTTCATACATACACGCACACAATAATCAAACATCGCACGACTTCGCGAGTCTTGTTTTCTCGTAGTGGTTAACGTCTGTCAGTACAACCGGTTGATAGTGTCGCTGGTCCACCGCCGCCGTCTTCTTCTTCTTCTTCTTCTTCTTCTTCTTCTTCTTTTCTCTCGCGCCCGTCTCTCGTGAGACGTCGCCGGTCGTCCTTGCCCCGTACTTAGTCGATAAGTAGAGATACTTCGGTTCCTCGATCGAACGTGCTCGCGAGAGCTCATGTTTCCCTTACGTTAATTTCGAGAGCCTGGAGTACTCAGTAAATTCATTTTCTTACTTGGTTTCGCGATTTGACAAGACATAGATCATTTGGTGAGAGAGATCAAGATGCGACTTAACGTTACGCTCGCAAGTAGATTCATACTAAATGCCGTTTTCAGTCTGTTTGACGACGTGTTCGATCGACAAACGAAGAATGCGGGAAAGAAGGGAGAGGAGAACGATGGGATGAAGTGAAGAGGGCGATGGGAGGGAAAGGGCGAATTCGCGTCGGTAGGCCCGTGCTCTGTGACTGACAGAACGAGGTTGAACGAATTGTAATGTAAAAAAAAAATACAATATGCATTATCGGTATATTGGCATGGTGTTGTTATGGCACATTCAGTTTGCTGCTCTACTCAGCGACGCGTTTCTACAGCGGCCCTCGCCATGCTCGCTGTACAGAACCGTGTGATTCAGTCGTCTTACAAAAAAAAAGAAGAAAAAATAAAGGGAAAGAAAAATACATTGCGGAAGAGAGAGAGAAGGGGGGGAAAAAAAAGCATTTTCACCGATGTCGCGCGCACACTCTCGCACGATATCCGTTTCCATTCCACATAAATGCGCGACAATCGTTCACATTCTCTCGCGCTCTCTCTCTCTCGTTGGCACCTCCCATTGCACTTTCCCATGCGCTGCAACAAATGCACCTTATAAAACGTACTTATTTTATGTACAAAAGAGAAACTGCTCCCTAAACAAACGCTCGCAGAACAACCGTGATAAAAAATACCCTACTACATATTTTTCAGATTTTGAGATCGGTGACATAATAATTATTAGAATTGCACCGAAATATTGTGTAGCGCAACAGTTAATCGCTTGAATGATTGTGCAGTCGGCGTGCTCGAAATTGCGCAACTCAAGTTTCTATTAAATCAAAATACTATTATAAAAGATGCCGCTGTAAAATAATTTTAAAAAATCTCTGTTGCTTTTCTTTCTCTACAAAAGCATAAAATATGAAATTTATAAAATACCAAAGAACGACAAAAAATTAAAAAATCTTAAAATAATAAAGTAAATAAAAAAGTAGCTTTACAAGACGACATCGCGAATAATTTTTCATCACACAATTAATAATTCCTGTCCTATTTGTAAACGAAACGTCTGTTAATGTGAACAGGTTTCTGCCAGTAAAAATTTGTATATTCAGATGTTTATTATTTCATTATCGGAGAAATGTAGTTTCGTTTGCATTTGCACATTATGCCGACATGGTAAATAAGGTACGCACATAAACAAAACATACATCAAAAAACGCAATCGCCAATAAAAGTATTCGTAACATCATTTTACGCCGTAACAACGAAAGTTTATATTACCCTAAATATTCAGAATCGCCGAGTGAACGATATTGTTAATAAAGAGTAAAAAAAAATAAAAAAATAAAACAATGCTAGCAAAACTTAACGCAGAATAATTCTTTATAATTATAATATTGTATTATGACATAATTGCATTACGTTGTAATATAATTGTGTGTAATTATATTATATCATACGTAATACAATTGTGTGTAATTATATTATAACGTAATACAATTGTGTGCATAATTATAATTTCAATACAATTTATAATTATAAAAAAATTATAAATTTATTTTCTAAAATCCAATAATCGCTGTTCGTTGCGCAATTGTTGCTATAACAAAAATTTCTTATCTACGCAATTTGGAAGAGAAACATATTTTTCTGATACCTAATACACACATATGGACGAATTCTGTAACCGTACACCGCTACACACTCATCAGACGTCACGTTACATGAAAGTAGGAAAAGAGTGGCGGAAATAGTTTCTAGAGGGACGAGGAGGGAGAAATAAATATATTAAAGGATAGTCCTTCAAAAGTCGCTTTTGATGCTGATCGCGAACGACTTGAATGAAACTCGTCTTGATCTCCGCATGGAAGCTTATGTTCGCGTCTCCCGCGCTTGAATTTTTTTCTCTTTCTCTTTTCTTCTTCGTCTTTTTTTAACTTACCGCGATTATTGTCTTCGTTCAGTCGAAAGTGCGAATTTTTCGATCGACGACAATATCGCCTCTCGATTCTGTCTGGTAGGAATCGAAAGATGAAGCCCTCGAACGATGAAAAATCAATCGCGACAGCAATAATATACGTATCATTAGTGTTAATACGCATAATTAATAACATTCTAGAGTAAAAACATACTACCATAGAATTTGGCCAATCGCATCGCACCATTTGTCAATGACAATATTATTAAAAGACGAAAAGAAAGAAACAAATAAAACAGATTTGAGTAGAGAGTGAGCAGGGATTCGGTAGTAAAGGATATCTTACACGCTAATTAATCGCACTGCGTATAGACTTTTAAAAAAATAACAAATTACATACAGAAGATAGAAAGTATTCTGATACCTACGTGAAATGTGATCGAATAAACGCATGACAATAAAATGCATCGCGCGCGCCCAACTTCCGTTTTCCTTTATTTTTTTTTTTTTCGCGGCTCTCCTCCACTTTACGCGGATCCTAGCTACTTCGTCCGCGATATTAATTACTTTTCTAGAGTATAGTCGCTGGCACAGGAACATGACCTCTCAGTCATTGGCATCACAACGTAACAAGGACTACAAGCTGCGTCACGCGCGCCTTCTGCAAAGCCTGCTCTCTCCTCTCGGTCGCATTATTATCAGACGTGCACCTTGCCCTCCCCCCCTAGATTCGTACGCACGCATGCATGCACGCATACATACTCTCTTTCTCTCTCTCTCTCTCTCACGCTTTACATCTCGCTTACATCTTCCGCCGTCGAGCGGGTGACTACAGCCAAACACTTGGTCCTGAGTATTTCTGCATCGTACTTTTTTCTGTTCGTTCGTACACATGTATCAACATTCACCGCGATTGTTATTCCCGACTTTGGACACTGGATGATCTCTGTTCCAACATGAATGGACAAGAGCGCGAGGCTGGATGCTGAGTCAGGAAAGAACGAACTGAAGGCAACGCCGTCATTCACAACGACGACATGGCGATCGACGACTTCTTCTTACACGAATTTGAATCATCAGCAGATCTGCCCCTCAGATTGCAGACTACTGCATCTGACTTCACCAATGCACTCAGCAATGATCAGCTGTTCCAATCGGAATCCAGCGGAATCCAGCGGTTTGGACGACTCCATTGAACCTTCAAAACTCCTACCTGGTCCCTGTTGGTCAGGCTGGAATTGCGGGAGAAACAAGACAAACTGCCTCCCTTCTGCTTGCCTTTCTCATTATCCTCGGCAGTGCGTCGTCCGGCCTCCTTGTCACATGCGTACGTAGACGGACCCCGTAGATGACACCGCGAGCAGTAACAGTCTGGCCACGTGGGTCCGGCCGGGGCTACGTAACACTGATCGCCGGGTTGGAGGGGCCCGAGGGCGCGGGCTCGCTCTTTATACACTGCCCAGTCAGCTGATTCACGCTAAGCGGATTGTTGATGTCGTGGGGATTCGTGCCGACGGGATTGCGATGGGGCGGCGGGATCGGTTGCGGTTGCTGCAGCGCCGCCGTTGTCGCCGTCGTCGTCGCCGACTGATTGTGCGGCGGTTGGCTCGTGTTCGGCAGAGGCGGGGGTGGCACCGGGGGCGTCAACGGGCACGGGCACGGGCTGGCCAGGCTCGAGGGCGATGGTAAGACCAACGAAGGGCTCGCCAGACTAGACAACGCGGAGAGGCCCCCAGGACTGCTCAGGGACTCGTCCTCCTCGGGCGTACCCGCCTCTCCTACGCTGCCCAGGTTATCCTCCGAATGATCGTCCTCGGCTTCACCGTCGGCTTCGCCATCACCGTCTCCTCCCTCCCCCAAGTACCTGACACATTTCTTCTTACGTCTGTAAATAATGACGGGAGATCGATTAGTGCGTATTCTTCCAGGTGCGTTTGAAACACGACATAGTTGGGTGTCGACGACGGCAATTTCCATCTGTGAGATCGTTTGTTTCGCAGAGAACTGCGAAATAAATTATCGCAAAATTTGTTCATTTGATTAATTTTTTAAAACATGAAGAAAGTAATTATTAAATGTACTTTAATAATTTATTTTTATATCTATTCGATGGATTTCTCACTGATGCAAATATGCCTGGTGTCCGTTACATCTAGAATTTGTTACCAACTAAAAAAACATGCGATCACTCGTCATCATTGCAAGGTCAGACGCACAAACTTCTTCTGGAATTAGTGGATTGTCTCATATTCTGATCAATCAGAGTGGGCGACGATTTTTGTGCGCCTGACAATGCTTCGATTGCTCGACACTGATCACTCGCTCGCAAATGCCATGCTTAAGATCCTTAGACGTAACAAGCATAACGTGTAAGAAATTTATACGTGAAAACGAAAAAAAAAAAAACTCAATCGTAATGCCAGGAGGAGGGCATCTATCCGAATCGTTGATCATCCGCGGATCGAGAACTCGATGGGGAATCGCGCGTTAAACCTTTCCTTTTCTCTTTTCACGGTGTCGATTTGTCATAAAAAATAGCCAATTGAACGAGGCGCACTCAAAAGTGGTGACAGTATGTTACGTGGAACTTGGAATGTTGCGACCAAACCGCAAAGTGTATATTCAAAGTGAAAGTTATTAGTTGCGCGAGAAAGGTGGACATCGATAAAATAATAGACGGCCGGATGACGTGAGGATGAAAGGCATTTTTGCTACTGCACAATTTTCAAACGTGAGCCCGTCCGACCTCGTCCGAGAACTGCTTCGCAGTCGAGACATTGTGCCGCTCTGCCATTGGCTCTCATTATTCATCTCTCAGCTAAATCAGTTAGTTTCGTCGGCCGTGCCGCCGTGGACGACGGTGATTGCTATTAACTCGCAGCCAGACTTGAATCTCAAAGCGTTACACAAAAAACTTACGGGAGTTAGACTACTCCGTTCAGTGCGCGACAACGGATGGCATTCGGAAGTCCCATGCTGGATAGCAACATATACTATTTCTTTGTTAGATAAATAGTGATTTTACAATTGTCAGTTTAATGGAATGATAAATTAACAATCGCCCAAGTAGATGATTACGATGTTATTAGACGTCGCAATAATTTATATTCTTAAGATTTTAATTCATAATTTATTTGATCTTTTAAAAGAAACAATTTGTCTTTCCTTTTTATTAAAAAATAACATGTTTCGTATAAAAAAGAGGACAGTTATTTTATTAAAAGCATTTGTAAGTCTTTGCAATCCAATTCGAGACTGTGACCAACACGAAAACTCCGATTTAAATTCCACTCTACGCAGTCAGCCAGCGCAGTTCTTTATCCAAGGAACAGTGCTCCAAGTAGTTATTTGCAATATATGTATAAAAAAATACGTTATCATATAAAATGTTACAAAAGAAAAAAAATTATTAGATTCTAATCATTCTTGTGTAGTATGCTAATCAAAGAGATTAACGTATTACAGGAAGAAGAAATGATTAGATTCTAAAAATAAAAAATAAAAAATGGACACGTACAACACAATCATTCGGTCATACGAACTGCCATGCGAAAAAAAAATTAGAATTATATAAAGATTTTCTATGTGTCAAACGTTCCGAAATCAGAGCAAATAACTGTTACATGTATATATATATATGTACGAAGATTATAATAATATATATAATATATAATATATATGTGTATTACAGACCAGCCATGCTAAGGGCAACACTGAGTAAATTCCAACTAAACGAAAGGGTAAATAAATAACAATAATAAGCTGTAAAGAGCCACAACAATGAGAAACAATGCGAGCATCACGGGCCACCGTGGTGCCGCTCACTATGGCGCCTCGCTCGTCTCTTCCCACGATGACGTCTAAATGCGTTACGCGTCCTCGTCGGGTTTCCGGTGAAACAGATATCCGGTTACCGCGCGTAGCGGAAATCTTACGAGCTATCTCGGGCGAGCGACTGGCCGGCCATAGCGAGGACCGACGGCGGCCCGTAGGTTTCAAGTCGGGACTGACCACTGTTTAAGAAGAAGTGTTGCAGTAGAAGGGAGGCGATAGGCTTGACTAGAGATTAACATAAGTGGGTTCTTGCTGAGGCGAGGAGGCATTGGAGGCAGTGTTGGTGTTTGGCGGGGCGGCAGCCGTCCCTACCGTCCCTCCACCGCCTCCAGCCCCGACCCCTGCCCCCGCGCTACTTCCCACACCGTGATGGATTATGCTCGCGTGGATGCCCATCCCCGCTCCATGCTCCACTGGGCTGCCAAAACCAACCACCAGCCATTAAAGGGGCGCTCTCTCGCTTAAGACATAACGTCGACTTAATCCCACCTCAATCTCGCACCGTATCGTGTCGTCACCCACACGCACGTGTCTACGTCGAGACACGGAAAGTAGTGTTTTCCACTTTTCTCGATTTCTTTTCTCGTTCCCCGAAACGTCTCGCGAGAACGGGGCCGGCGATCGCCAGGACTCAATTGTCGGTCTTCGAACAATTTTAAATTGCGACGGCATCAACGCCAGATATCGTTCAATTAAATCGTTACTCTTTGCAGAAATAAGATGTGATTTCTATCAAACATTAATTTTACAGTTAAACATATTTGAATGAACATGATGTGATTTGAATATTAAGAAACTTTCGACGGTGAAAGACAGTTCGGCGATAATTAAGCGCAGATATCACGACCATAGCGTTGCCGGCCCCGCTGGAACAAAGTTGAATTTTTAAACAAGTGGAACGAAGAAAGACGGCGACTGTTGCATCGATCAGAAAATATGTCTCCCAAGTATCCGCGCTGTGTAACGCGACGCATTGGAATTGATCTCAACGCATCTGGTTAGGGTCCGATAATTAATCTTAATCACTCTACAATCTATCACACGTTTCGCAATCCTCTCTAATACGATTTTCCGAATATCCATGATGATACGCTCGGAATCAGAGGCGACGATTATTCATACAAGGCGGCATGTAAAATCACGTGCATTCAATGCAGAGTGCAATCAGCTAAGTCCAAATGCAGCAAACTAAGTGCTTTCGGTATCTCAGCGAAGATCACTTTTGTAGTTTCGGACCTTCGGCAGGACTGACAGTAAGCACAGACACAGTGAAAATTTTACACGCTTCACGACACGAATTTTACACGCTTCTAAAATTCATTCCCATGCACGCGACGATGAGAGAGAGATCTGCCATGATTGGCGTGATTAGTGTCAGATTACGTTTTTTTTTTTCCCCCCCCCCGTAAGATTAGTATTCTTGAGAATTCTCTCTCTTTCTTTTTTTTTCATCGTGCAAGAATCGCGAAAAGAACCGTCGATGGGATTCGTCCTCGCCCCTTTAATGAGGTCCATGAGATTCACAAACCCAGCCGGGAGTTGGGGCGTTTGGGCTACGCCGTGACAAAACGGGGTACAAGTGAGTAGCCGGCGCTAAAAACGGGTGGCTCGTGACAGCAACCGCGGCAAAACTACGAAAGTGTGTGCTTCTAGAGACCGATATTTACAAGCCAAGTGCAGCCGGACGCTGCGTCGCGCCCTTCGCGGGGGGAAAGACTGATCGTACCCTCCCCCCCTTTCGTTCGTTTCTCTCTTTTTCTTTGGAAGACACATTTTCTGACGGTCGCGCAATCCCGTTGCGCTCTCATTTCTCTGTCTCTTTCCTCGTTCGCTTCATAATTGCGGATTCGACAGGAAGTAGTTCAGAAAACGACCGCGAACGCGCGAGAACACGAGGCGAACCTGTCGCGGGCTTTTCGCATCGCGTTGCGTCCCGGAGATGCGCCATATACGTGTGTGGGCGTCTCCTCTCTGTCAAGTTCCACGGTAACATGTGGATGACGGAACGGGGTTCGAGACCGATACGAGACAGCGAGCATTGGGGATAACTGTAATCGTGACCGTGTCGCGCGCGATCTCAAAGAAAGCCGTTAGAGTTATGTGTCCAGATTCGTTCGCGAAAGTTTTTCGTGTACTATCATCCACCTACTGCTGAGGCAACGGGGAATGCTTTGAATTACGCATGTATCGTTGCCGTGAAATATCGAATTACTCAATTAAACAGAACAGTATGCGAAGAATATGTCTTCTCTCTCTCTCTCTCTTTCTCTCTCTCTTTCTCTCTCTCTCTCTCTCTCTCTCCCTCTCAAGAGACCGGTATTTTATCATGTAATGCGATTTGGCGGACAAAAGTTTACGAAAAATACAGTCGGCGTACGTAATTTCCAAGCGGATAAAAATTTACGAAAATACAGTCGACAATTTCCAGGCCATTCCGTGAGATTTAGCACGTATTTACACGCAAATCGCGAGGACCGTACGCGCAATTCGATGGACGATTATCTCGTCGTTAAAGCACAAAGTATATATCTCGAAAAAAAAGCTCTGCACGCGGCACACATACCTGCAGGGTTTGCACCACTGGCTTTGCTGGTCTAATCCATACCTGGCGCGGCATTTCTTCATGTTATTGCCTAGAAAAGGGAAACAGCGATTAGTGCAACAGTCGTGAATTGTTTTACAAGCGGGATTTCTATTCGATGTAGCTACATTCTGTCAAAAGAATGACGTAGTTATTGACATTGACGTTCTCGTTGTGTGATGAAGAACGAAAAAAAGAAGAAAAAAAAATCAACTCGAATAAATCTACGACCACGTGACAAGAGAAAAAAAAAAGTAACAGGTGATGATGTATATATATATCGACAAACCGTGCGGGATTGTCGTGTACAATCGAATGCGATAACGACATAATCTACCGCAGTATATAAAGTGGACTATCGGTGCTCGAGTTTCTGCGTTTAATATACTTATGTTTCTGTGAATGCCAAACGAACTCAACGAATGTCAACTAGTCATGCGTGTAACAGAACGGTAGTTAACCCTTTGAGATCTGGGCACATTGATTATATTTACATACCGCAGCTCTTCAAGTTTTCCGAGAAGCGGTTTCACGGTGTTTAGTGTTCGGTTTTGCAAAACTTATACAAAATACAAAAGTTGCCTGAAATCGCACAGAATGTAATTCTCAAATTTAATTGATAAAATTATTTGAAAACAAAAATATCTCTCGGCCTCGACCTCAAAGGGTTGTTAATGATATATATTGTAGGACCTTCGTAGAAGACGCTATATTAATATCAAATGCAGTACGTTGAAGAATAAAAATTGCGCGAGAATAGGATCTGAAAAAATAAAAAAAACGCAACGATGTGCAGCTGCATAAATCTCTATCTTTCGTATACTCAATATAATAAGACCGATGATCTTCAAAGAAGGACCCACGTATATATCGACAAAGATACAAGTCGTTTGTTTTGAAAGTGATGAAAGTTTTAAGATAAATTTTAATAGAGGAAAGAGTCATTAAAAAAAATTAATTAAACATTTAATAGAATTCTTGTCGAGTTTGGGCTTACATCACTTCCTAAAAAAACACGAGTCGTATTTTTGTCAAGTGAATAAATATGGCATGCAACGTTAACGTTAAAATGGCTTAAAAAACACGATCAAAGATCATCTACTCGTTTGAAATGTCGTGATTTGTATGATAAGAAAAACGCAAGCTCCGATATATATCTAAAAGAAAAATACCAATTATGGATGTGAGCGCTCTATTACGCGAGCGCTAGTAAACAAAAATTTCGTATGTGGGGGGGGGGTCGAATTAAACTGAGTGATTCGATTAAAGATAACGACAGAACAAAAATAATAAAATTAGAAAAAAAAAATCACAAAGGGTCCAGGCAACATTGAAACGATCAAAGAAAAATAAATGTACAAATCGAGAGCCGAAGTACAGGAATGAGAGAGTATAGTGAGAGAATAACTGAGAGGAAGACAGAAAAAATAGAGAGACAAAGAACAGTAACAGTCAAAGTGAGAGATATGTATTGTAGAGTAAAAAAAGACAGATAAAGAAGTTGGAGAGAGAAAGAGATAAAGAGAGAAATATACAGACAGAGATGAAAATACTAATAGAAAATTAAACGCCCAGGATTGTCTGATTGCGGAGTAGGTCCCTGTAAAAATGCAAGATGGCCAGCGTCCCCAAAGTTGTATACGTATAATTAATAATAAGATGCGTGGTTTTGGTGTCTCTGTTATTGCTGTGTGCGTGTATCACGTGTGTAATATCAAGTGTTGCTCCGATGTGTAATGCAGATACATCATCGATACGTGCATCGCCCGTACTCGCGGTTTGTGTGAACAAAAAAAAAACCATATATAATAAAATCACATTTATATATATATATATATATGAACGTATATGCGTGTGTGTATAATAATAATATAGTCATATATATAATAATATATATATATAGTATAATATATCGACCCAAAACCCCTAAGACGGGGGGGAAACATGCAACATAATGTAGTGTAGCAATAAGAATGTATAATATAATAGTATATGTAATAATGAGTGGAGTGGAGGGGGCGGGGCTCTCTTTTTTTTTTTCTTATGACAGGGGGATTGTAAGAATGTGTGGAGTGAGGCATGTGGGTACCTCCAGGATCACTGTTTGTGTCTTGTTTGCGCTTCCTCTTCTTAGTTCGGTTGGTATTTGCGCGGGAAGACCAGTCAGGGTACAGCTGCATGTGCAACTGTCTCTCCCGTCGCGCCAACTCATAATACTTGGCCTGTTCCTCTCGCCCTAGCGCGTGCCACTACCGAGAGAGAACCAAACACTTTTTTGTAATTGTGCATGAACCGTGTGTGGACTAAACAATATTTTTAATCAAGAAAAAAAAAGTTTCACTAATGCTACTGCCGCCACCCTAATTGCGTAAAAAATGTTGCTTTTAAAAAATCAGAGTTAGCTTGCTCTATTTAGAAATCTGTTTTTTTATTATTTGCTTTTTCTATATTTTTTTTTATTTTTTTATTTATTTGATTTTTTTCTTTTCGCTATCGTTGCCTCATAGCATTTCAGTAACACTGGGGTCCCTACTTTCCGTTTAAAGTGCTAGAAGAACAGCCTAGATTGTCCCCTCCCCCTCGGTCGCACCGCTATTCATCGTATACGGTCGATGTTAACAACCTAGAGCATACAGGGTGTCTGATAGAGGACACGGCCCAGCGGGTGGACGAAAAAGAATTTTTCTTTTTTTTTCTGGAGCACGCGTGCGGATGATAAAGTGAGAGAATATAGTGTTGGCTATACACTGAGGAAAACATACGCTCCGTAAGGATGCCGTACGCGCAAAGCTGGTAACATTCGCGATCACTGGAAAGATACAATCCTTAGGATAAATGTTGATAATATGCTACAGTTGCGGCAAACTTGATCTCACTTATTCGTTAGCTTCGTTTTACATTTTACATTTATGTTTTACATTTAAAGCGCGATTAAAAGGCCGAGAATTATAAATGGGCTATCAGCGAGACGGCTGTTGTCCATCAACGTTGAACAGCCCAATTATACTCCGCGGTCGTTCAGAATCCTTTCGCCACTACTGACGCATTCTGCGCGAACAAAAAAAAAGCGCAAGATGTTCCTCCAGTGTATTTCCGTTCGCCACCTGCCCCAGTTTCCTCTCCCGCGAGAGTCACGCCATTGAGGTTGTAAAGAGGATATTGCTAGACTTTTGACGACGAAAAGCCGCGTTTGCTTCCCGAAAGAAACACGCTCGTTTCAGGTAACGTCGCTGGATGTTAATAGGAACGAGAAAACGGGAGGGGGACGAGAGAGGGATGCATTTTGAAGGAAGTGAAACACTTGTCGTGGCGGACATTTCTCGTTAAATCGCCGCGAGCGCGGCTCGTCTTGGGAGGTAAGCGATTGCGAGCAGATGTCGTCCCGCGGCGAGAGAAGGGGAAAAAAAGAAGAAATAGAAAAAGCGGGACAGGCCCCGAGCCTCTCTACCAGACATCCCATACCTAAGGTTTTGGTTTTCACTCTCGCTCTCGTTATCGCATCATCGGTGACATTATTCGTCTCGTCTCATCTCTTTTCACTTCACCGGAGAACGGATACCGCTTTAGGGAGTTTGGCCAGATAAAAAAAAAGAGAGATTGCATTGCATGCCGCGAGAGTCCGCCTTGATTTTCATATTTTTCTTTTTTTTTTTCGTTACTTTTGCTATTTTTATACTTTTTTCTTTGCTCTGCTGTGCCACATTCCACAATCCCCACAGACAATCCAATCCAATTCAGTTTCGAAAAACGAAAAAATATACATATATGCATATATGTACATATATAAAATATCCAAGAGATATATATATGTCGGTAAATATATATATATAGTCTGCACGTCGAAAAAGAGTGAATGCCAGAAAACCATAACAAATAATAATTAAAAAAAAAAGTAAAAAAAAGTACGTACGAAATAAAAAGAAACGCACAGAGACTTTGATCGTTTCAATCAACCAGTATAGGTAATGTACTAGCAATTATTATATAATGAATTATTAATGGCCTGCTGTTCTAGCACTGGAAAGTGGTACCTCCGGTGGGATCTGCGGAGCGCTCTTTCTTCCTCTTCTTCTTCTTGCTGCCATATCCGTAGTTATCCCTGGCACTCCAGCCGGGGTATCGTTGCTGATGGAGATGGCGTTCCTGCCTGGCCGCCTCATAATACCGCGCCTGCTCCTCCCGGCTTAGCGAGTGCCACTGCGTGTCATACCCCCAAAATTCAGATTCACAGATTCATAGCCTCGCTTATCCGTTTTTTTCCCCCGTTATCTCTCCCTCCCTCTCTCTCTCGCCCTCTCTCGCCATTACTTATTTACCATTAGCGACAATTGGACACCGTCTATCATTGACTCGTGCGACTCGTCGTCACGTGTCGCCACCGAGACCCGGCAAAAACCACCCCCTTTTCTCGGCCCTTCCCCTCTCGTCAACAGCGTTTTCTCAATCAAGGCGAATCTGAGATTTCCTTAGATCCCACCTACAATGCTCTATTCGTACTGAGATACTAGTAGGTACGGTTAGTTAGCTCCGACTGGTAGCCCGATAGACTATTTTGCTCGAAAAAAGCGTTAAAATGCATGCAGTAACTCGTGTATTCAGAATAAAGGCTCATCTGGAAGTTTTTAATAAGCGACCAACATTTTCTCTTTCTCTGTCGCGTTTCAATCACGGCGCGGAATCGGAATGGTGAGAAATTAATGCCTGGTAAAAAGACATTGATCAATGGCGATAGATTGTAATGAGATAATAAATAGACCATTCATTGTCAAAGTGATCTAAAATCTTTACTTTATTCATTAGCAAAATTATTTTCAGCGATTCACCAGATTAGTTTCCAGTTCACGATCAAAAGTGATTTCGAATATTTTAAAGACTCTTTTCTAATGTATGAGATGTGAGAAAATGTTGGATTTCGCACATATAAATTATTCTTACATCAGAGTGCAATAATTTAATTCTATCGTTAATTCAAGTATAAGCTAATCATTTTCTGCATTTCACTAGAAGACAAATACTTTGAAAATAGCTCGTAAAATAATTGTTATTTTGCAGCAGTCAAATTATATTGTCATATTGCAGAGAAATCGAGAATTCGCTAATGACTCTGATGTAGGATGGTTAACTTAAAGCTTCAGAAGTATCGAGGTACAAATGTTTACTCACTCGTCTTCCCAATATTTGGTTGATCGCGGCACTCTCTTTTAAGGTACACTCTGCCACAACCTTCGCCCTCATCTCCTTCATATACAGCATAAACGCGTTCAAAGGCTTTTTTATATGGGGTTTCTTTTTATCTGTCAAAAACAGCGTTCAGGTCAAATGAGGCGATCGTCTCAACGACGTTCGGAGAGCACCGTGATTACGTGTTCGGAATTTTACCTTGCAGCCGCGATTCCTTACCTTGATTATTCTGCTGGCCCGTGTCCTGAGCTTTCGCATTATCCGAAGGTAACGACGTGGAGTTTTTCTGCTCTATCGTAGACCTGCAACACACACACATAGGAGAAAAATAGCGTGAGCCCAGTGGCGCGCACAGTTCCGCGCGCCAATTTCATTACAATCTCAATGCCCGTCATTCAGCGGGTTTATGTACCGTTTGTTAAAGTAGGACTGTTTGGCCTCGGGATTCAGGGGTTCGGGTTTCGCGCAGGACAGGGGGTAGGTCGGCGTGGTGCTCTGGGACAGCTGCTCGGTCAGGTTCGGCGTCGGCGCTGGCGCCGGCGTCGTTGTCGCGCCGTCGAAATACGGTGGCGCGGTCGGTGGCAGCGTCAGCGGGTTCCTCAGGAAGCTCTGTGGCAACGGCCAATTCATCTGTTGCCACATGCGGTGCCGCGCCTCCACCATCGCCAGCAATTGCATGAAGCTCTGCTGCTGCTGCTGGTTGCCGCCGTACGGCGGCGGCGCGATGCCGCGCGGCGCGCTCAGGCTCGACATTTGCATGAGGCTGCTCATGTAGAGCGCGGTCAGCAGCTTGTGATCCGCGGTTGGCAAGCCACCGGATTCTACTGACTTGACAGCGTCCTGAAGTATCGCCATATTATCCTCGATCGCGTTGTCCTCGGTCGCAACAGCGTCCTTCTCCTCGTCGATCGACGCCTCCGCGATCTTCTCCCCGATCACCGTCGGCTCGCCGCTGTCGTCAGTGTCGTCCTTTTTGATTACCAAGTTCAGCGGCTCCAGGCACTCGGCTGGCTCCATCGCCACATACGGGGCTACCTCGTGTTTACTCGCGGGTCAACCGCCGGAGTGATCCAAATCGATCCATGGAACGTTCTAACAAAACCGCTGCGCGATTTCACGCTACTGTTCGCGAAAAAACAATGTTTAATTATCACAGCACCAACTATGTAACAGCGATCAAACTGTCTCGTACAATATCACTCGGCGCTAATGTCCCTCAGCGCTGATTCTCTCTGGTCTCATTTCGTTCCTTTTCTTTCTCTTTCTTTCTCTCTCTCTCTCTCTTTCTCTCTCTCTCTCTCTCTCTCTCTCTCTCTCTCTCTCTCTCCTCGTCCCGTCCCCTCCCCTCCCCTCCTCTCTCTCTCTCTCTCTCTTACTCGCATTTTTCACACGGGGAAACAAACACGCTCTCTTCGCCCGTGACATCCGGGTAGGGTAAAAGCTCGTTTGGTCCGACAGCAAGCGCTCGACAGTTTACACTCTCCATTCACATCATCGCGCTCGTGTCGCGCGCTATAGTGAGCGCGTAAAACGATGGAGGTGCGGGGCACCGTAAACCGGTCAGCGTTGTAAACAGCACGTACACGGCACGACGCAACGAGAGAGAGACACTTTACACGCCGCCTGTGGTGGTCCACCAGACGCTGGCGGCGGCCTCGCGCATCCGGTAGCCTCCGAGACGTACGCAGCAGCCGTCGTACTTGCCGCACGTCATCCGCGCGTCCGACGTGCTTCCTAATGGCACCGTCATCGCCCCCACGTCCTCGCCGTTGATCGCGTTCATTTACACACGCCCGCGCCCGCCCGCCCGCCGCTTCGACAGCGCCAGTCGTTGACGCGACTTCGTCGCCCGGCGATTCGTGCGGTGAAATGTCTCCAGGGGCGGCATCCCACGGTCACCCATTCGTCATATCTTTCTCTCTCTCTCTCTCTCTCTTCCTCTATGCTGCTTCTCTTCTCTTACCACTCAATCTCCCGCTTTCTCTTTCTCTCTCTCTCTCTCTCTACAACCCAATCCCCCTTCGCTAACCACCCTATATACCCACCGAACACCCCGTCTATCTCGTCCGACGCCGACGACTATAGCGCGCTCGTTCCGTTGTATCGCGAAAACGCACCCCCGTGTCTCGTCCGCGATTTCCCGACACGCAACGCGCTTTGTCGCAACGACACGCACGAAGACTCTTCCGCTTCCCCGACGATACGCACCGTCGGCACTTTCGCGTACCGCCACCCCCGATTTCCGTTTCTCACCACGGCGTGTATCTCTCGCATCGGATTTCTCTCGCGCACGATGCTTTCCGTCTCCCTCCCACCATCCACGGCGCGTCTCAAACGCGCTCGTTCCTGGCGACAGCGGAATCACCACCGACCGGTGTTACGACGATTGATTATCGGCGAGTCTGGCGGGGTGGCCGGGGGGGGTCGACGCGGGGGAAGAGGCGAGCGGCGATGGTGTTGCGCGGGGGTTGCGCGAGGGTGGCGTACCGTGGGATGGGTGGCATCATCGCGATTCATGGCTCTCGTGGCAACCAGAGACAACCCTACCATCCGTCGGCTCTACAATTCCGGGAGCGTGTGGGGGGACGAATATCGCATTCTCCGTGGCCTTCCTCTCCTGCGTGCCGTGACGACTCTTCCTTTTTTGGCGGGCTACTGGCCGCGGCGCTGCCGTCGACCACCGGTCAACCCTGGATGTCCTGCTGCCACTCGCCAACGACGCGGCGAGTTGGCGGGATGAATCAGCCGCTCGCAGTCCGGTCACAGTCAACGTTCTTTCCAAAGGAACTTTGTCCCCCTCCTCGAGGTACTATGCGCTTCTTCCGAGAGAGCCTCGTACGTATGTGATTCTGTGCGATCACCGGACGCGATCGACGGTGGCCTTTGATCCTTCGAGTCTTTAATTATCGCACTCACGCTGACTGATCGGACAAATCCGGGGACGCGAAGATATTCTCTGTCTGTTACTTATTTTGCAAATCCACAGTATTTTTTTCTTCATAGCGATTCACCAAAAATAAATTCCAAGCATCCGATCTGTTATGGAGGATCGGATGCTCCCCCTGTCTGTATCACTGATGCGCCAACGACGCGCGATGCCGCGACGAGGCAAATGCGTGCAAAGCGCGTACGAGTCGGCCGAGGGCCGTTACGAGTCTCGTGGACGCGTTGTCGATGGACCGGGATGACGCGTCAGCTGGTCCTCTTCCATGGTCGCTTCGCACTTGCGCGCGATGAATATATATCTAGAGAGCGGAGCGCCGTATATCGCGCGCGACACACCACGCGCCTTTGTATGCACGCGGGTGGCGGGGCGGGCGATCGCCCGGGTACTAATGTAAATTAGAAATCTGTTTAAGAGGGTAATGATCAATACATAACTGGCGGCGGCGTCGGCGTCAGCGGCGGCGATAGCGGTGGCGGCGGCAACGTCGGGCCAGCAGGCGCAGACGCTGTGCGGAGAGAGTCATTCGATAAGTGTTATACGTGCTCTCCCGGCGCTGCCGACGACGTCGAAGGGGTGAAGAGAAGAGTGCACGGCGACGACGGACGCGAGGGGATCGGTCCGCGCGCTCCGGGGGTAGACGGGACGTGCTACCCCCTACGGTCGTCGCGTCGCAACTATCCGTCTCATCCTCGAGCACGGCGCTTCCTTATCAGCAGACCGCGCTGCGCTGGTGGTACACGATTCATCTTGCAGCTGTCAGCGTTATTCGGGCGTTTTATTATCGATCGCCGAGCGCCCGCGGCGCTCACGGTTCCATGAGGGGTGGCTGAATCGGCATACGATCGTGGGGTGGTTAGGAAGATCCACGCAGGACTGTATATCCGGTTGGTAATGCTCGCAGGATGATCAGGGAGATCCTGGCGGGTGGAGGACGCGGATAATAATCGATCATGCCGAGTTAATAATGAATAGTTATCCACCGACGGAACGTCGATTCGTCAAACGGCAGTTTTCTTCTTCATTGAACGAATTATTGATTAAATGAGTTGTCAATTCCGTGATTGATAGTCGCGAGATGCCAGGTGTCGTAACAACGTATGATATATTTCTACTTATTTTTAATAAGATTATATTCTTAAATAAATGTCTCGTTATTTGCAAATACGATGTATTTCTGCACTTGCAAACGAAATTATCCATCTAAATAAAACTGGACCACATCTTGTGTGCAAATGATGCTTAATTATTGATTATAAATATTTTTTCACATCACTGTCAAGTAGTTCCTTTCTCCACATAGATTGTATCGTTCGCTTTACTGACTCGTGAAGCAATTATTCTTTCTTACGACGAGCTATATAAGGCTGTTTCGCTTGCGACGCGCGCGCGGACGTATTCTAAATTAATTACATTTCCCCGACGGTGTAATTAATCGACGGTGCTGCAAGCGCTGGTGGATAAAACCGTTCCAAGCGGTGAGTCGGCGAGCTCTTTAATTGCCTTTGAAAGTTTATGCCGTATCGTCCCGAAGCTTATGGCACTTTTTTCCGTCGCGTATGTGCGCCTCTCTCTCTCTCTCTCTCTTCTCTCTTCTCTTTGATACGTCAAATATATAATGACTGTCGTCATGTAATTGACTGTTGGCTCGTTAGCGCGAGCGTAGATCGCTCGCAAATCATTGATTGAAAACCTGGATTTTCGCGACCGACGTCAGGAAAACTTCTTCACGCTGCTTTCCACCAAGTTCACCGTGCCAAAGGGAAGGACATGATAACGGAAGGATGAAAAAAATCGCTTATCGGACGGGGAATAATCAATGTTGGCTTTGCTGTCGGCGCTTTAGATGTCGCCAGCAATACAAAAGTGACAGGAACAACGAACCTGTGATTGTGATCCAGGGTGGAGTGATCCGCCTTCGGCGCCGAGGACACCAGCGCGTGTGACGCTAGCGCGTGTGCGTGCGGACTCAGGCCGGGATGAGGGGGCATGAGGCCCGTCGGCGAAAACCGGTAGAGATCACTGAAACATTATAGCAACACGGTTCTCATTCAGCAAATCTCATATCCCGAGCGTCGGCTAACAAAGTAAACGCGTGTGCGTTTGTAATACGCTTAATACGCTTCTTTACTAACCTTGGTAAACTGGAGCTGGTGATGGGTAAACTCGTGGGATACGGACTTCGGAAGCCGGGATTCGCCGACGTGATGGGGTACATGCTTGGCGTATGCCTGTAAACATTCACATTTCAAGTTTTTATCGCCAATACGCGTCGCGCGTATATCGCGAGACGCGATTACTCGTGAAATATCTTCCTAGGTATTCGAAAGCCAGCGAAAAACTCTCGCGAAATCGATTATACCCCGCTCGTTTATTTATACGGCGCGAAATTTTACGACAGAATTATACGAAGATCGCTGCCCGCAAAACTGCACTAAAGTAGATTTTATTGCTCGGATAATCCTTATCGCGTTATGTCTTCAATAAAAAAAATCGAAGATGCTAAAAATGAAATTTCTTGTAAGAAAAAATTAAAAAAAAAAAAAGAATTATTAGTCATTATTTCTCAATTTAAATATTGATTTTTTTATTATTCTTCGGTGCGAATATGTGATGCCGCGAATAACACGTCGAGCAGAAGCGCTATAAAATATATGCATAGCGTCGACCGGTAACACGGTTAATTAATTATCATTAACATCGCGGACCGCCGACTCGCAACAGTAATTAGTTCGTGCCTCTTCGCGAATGCGCGTTTCCGTTGCCAAGAACACAGAGCCGTAGAGTCCCCACTTCGCGTAATAAAAACGCCGCCGACCTTCTCATTATCGCAAGTGGACCTCTACACTCCCCCATTTTCAAGGGTGGACGCCACGGCGCGCCTTGAAAATCGCGAGAGCTGAATTCCGTGCACGCGTAGTCGACGCGTCCGGGCATTTTTCCGCGCGCTAAGCTCGAACCGAGCAAGCGAGGTCATCGTGGGTCCTCCTAATTGAGAAGAAGGACTCTAATCATCCGTGGAAGATCGCAATTTGGGGTGAATCGGGCGGAAGGCAAATAACGAACGGGGGAAACGGCGGGCTCCGAACGTAAACCTGATCCGTGAGGACCTGTTTCCTTGCGAAAGGAGGGTGACATCAATAAGAACCGCAATAACGACGACGAGAGATTTCTTATCCGATGTAATAGACCGGAACCAAGAGGATGACCGCCTGACTAAAGTCGCCCGCACACACTCGACGTCTAGATTTTCTCGAAAAGCTGGACCTGAATGCGAATGCGTCGCGCGTCTTATTTAACGAATCCTCGATACCGCGCGATTAGCGCCAAAAAATCGGAATCCGCCGACGAAAGGTCGTCTTTAGGCGTCGCGATGCTACGAGCATCGTTAAAGTAATGAGAGAGCAAATTAACGAGACCAGCGGCTATATTTCGACGAGAACCGGAGAAACTCCGACGACGACGTTTATCATGCAAATCCGCGCACTTTGCGTTAAAAGAGAGTTTTTTTCTAAAGAGGAAAAATTTATCGTGGCCCGCCGCGACGTTTCCCCCGCATCTTCCGGATACTTTTATGAATATTTAGCGACCTTTGTGCACAATTCGCGATGCACGATTTGCGTCCGGTGTCGGACGGCGATTTAAAATCGCCAGGAGAGCTGCTTCGGCGCACAAACGAAATTCAACGCTCTCCATTACTTTCCGTTCGCGTTCATCGCGCAACGCAGATCGAGCGATTATTCAATCCGTAATTAACATAAAACATGATATATAACATTTCTGCGAATGTAAAATGATTCTTGCTCCATAGGCGCATTTATCTCGCGAAATTGAATACCGCTCTGAATCCACCGCACGGTCGAACGTATGTTTGATTAAAATTGAAATAATATTACGTTATATTGTAATGCAGCCAATCGTGGAATATCGCGAATATAATATTCGCTATGTTAAATCAAACTGTGATCATCGGCGACGAGTCATGCGTTATTTTTAGGCACACCGATTTCGTCGCGGTATCCGCGATATCGCAAATAAAAATGTTCTTGTGTGACATCCTTGAAAATGTCACGTGTGTATCGACTCACCAGGAAGCGGCGACTTGCGTCATTTCCGGACTAAGCATAGGATATGGATACTGGCCCGTCGAGAAAGGGTACATCGGTGCTCTCGTGAGGCCTGCAATAAAAAAAAGCAATGTCATTTCCGGCTCAATCAAATGGCAAATAAAACTCCTCCCCTCTGCGCTTCAATCGCGTCAAACATCTATATATTTAGGTTTCTCTTTGTGGAGAATCGTCAGATTTGTATTTACGACCATTACAGTCCGTTTCATGTGAAATGTTTCACTTCCATTCTTACGCGCGGCATTTCATTCATCGATGCCCGAAGAGTCAAAGCCCGTCCGTGAATTAATGCGTCGTTACCGGAGCACAGAATAAACCCGCCGCATCTCGCACCCGCGATTAACGGTGCTATAACGCGTTTAATCTTTCATTAACCGGCGGCGTGACCAATTTTACGGTCACCAAGTGATGACGTTCAATTTAATCGCGACGATCAAAAAGACCGGACCGGTAACGAGCGGCGCACGGGTATTTCCGTATTTGTGTGCACTGCTGCGGTAATACATTTTTTTCAAAGTGATCGTTAAACCGGCGGAGTTCGTGCACTTTACGTTCTAAATGCGGAACGAAAGTTTCATCCATCATTCATTATCGAAAGCAGGACTGGTATTTACGCCCAAGTCTGCGTAAATACAAGCAACATGCGCGCGGTTATTTCAAGAATAACGATTTATTTCACGGTATTATAAATTATTATTATTATCATAGATGTTGAGTACTGCACTTTTCGATGCGGTGAAACGTGCGTATCATCCGCGCATTAACGTATACAGGATAAATATTATCGTCGCAAGATCAAAGAAAGCGCGCGACTAAACGAAAAGGAGCGTTTATCGCGCGGGTTTGCACTATAAACATACAAAGCGGCGGAGGTCGTGCTTTTTCTCTGTCTGTCTTTCTTTCTCTCTCTCTCTCTCTCTCTCT